TCTGACTTTAATCTCAGAATTCTGACTTTAACCTCAGAATTCGGACTTTAATTTCTGACTTTAATCTCAGAATTCTGACTTTAACCTCAGAATTCGGACTTTAATTTCTGACTTTAATCTCAGAATTCTGACTTTTTCTCAGAATTCTGACTTTAATCTCAGAATTCCGACTTTAATTTCTGACTTTAATCTCAGAATTCTGACTTTAATCTCAGAATTCTGACTTTAATCTCAGAATTCTGACTTTTTCTCAGAATTCTGACTTTAATCTCAGAATTCCGACTTTAATTTCTGACTTTAATCTCAGAATTCTGACTTTAATCTCAGAATTCTGACTTTAATCTCAGAATTCTGACTTTTTCCTCAGAATTCTGACTTTAATCTCAGAATTCAGACTTTAATTTCTGACTTTAATCTCAGAATTCTGACTTTAATTTCTGACTTTAATCTCAGAATTCCGACTTTAATCTCAGAATTCTGACTTTTTCCTCAGAATTCTGACTTTAATCTCAGAATTCAGACTTTAATTTCTGACTTTAATCTCAGAATTCCGACTTTAATCTCAGAATTCTGACTTTTTCCTCAGAATTCTGACTTTAATCTCAGAATTCCGACTTTAGTTTCTGACTTTAATCTCAGAATTCTGACTTTAATCTCAGAATTCTGACTTTTTCTCAGAATTCTGACTTTAATCTCAGAATTCTGACTTTTTTTCAGAATTCTGACTTTAATCTCAGAATTCCGACTTTAATATCTGACTTTAATCTCAGAATTCTGACTTTTTTTTTCAGAATTCTGACTTTAATCTCAGAATTTCGACTTTAATATCTGACTTTAATCTCAGAATTCTGAGAAAAAAAAATCAGAATTCTGAGATTAAAGTCAGAATTCTGACTTCAAAGTCAGAATTCCTTTTATTATTTTTCAGTGGCCCTAATCCTTTTCCGTAAAAACGAAACCAAATATTATTTTATTTATTTCTTCATCATCAGTGACTTGTTTAAATAATCTGCATGGATTAGATGAGTTTTTGTGCTCAGATCTCTAATTACTCAGTGGTTCATGGGATATTTCGCAGATCGTTCTGCTCTGGCGGGTGATAGTGTCTCTGCCTGTGGAAAGCAGCAGACTCCTCCCACTCCGGAACCTGTCCTGAGGGGGCGGGACCTGATTCAGTCGGCGTCCAATCAGATGACAGCAGCACTTATTCCACTTTATTGCGGGCTCCAGTGAAGCCTGTAGTATAAAGGAACAGAGCGTTTTCCTCCCTGTGTGACACGCGCACGCGGACAGCTGGAGACAAAGGTAGAAGCAGCGTGCACGAGAGGATGCTCCAGATGAAAGAGTTGGATCAGCACCGGATCAAGCCGCGGTGAACATCTGATCTGGTCACAACTGTTGCTGCAGCCGGATCCGGACCAGCAGCCGGGTCCGGATCCACGACCTGAGCGTCAGATCATGGCACAGAGACGGGTTCTGAGGAGTCCCGATGTGAACCAGCAGACCGGGTCTTCATCCCTCTGAGTGACACGTTCCGGTTCGTTTCTGACACACTTTCGGGGGTCCCCTGAAGTCCCGGACTGACGCGAGCCCGACCGGGCTTTGTGTGGACGTGACCTTCATGATGATGATGATGATGGACGCGCATCAGGTGGATGTGGAGGACGGGTTCGAGACGCACGGACGCGCTCGCTCGTGCACCTGGCCGCCGTGTCCGGAGGGGTTCCCCGGGGCGCAGGAGGAGGAGGGGGCGGCGGTCCCAGCGTGCCGGACCGGGAGGAAAGGCGGCGCGCCGGCGGAGACCAAGCACCCCGCCGGCGCGCCGGCGGGGTGCTTGGTCTCCGCAGGCGCGCCTCTGGACGTGGCCAGCCAGCTGCGCAAAGCCAAGTCCTCGCGGCGGAACGCGTGGGGGAACCTGTCCTACGCGGACCTGATAACCCGCGCCATTGAGAGCGCGCCGGACCAGAGGCTGACCCTGTCCCAGATCTACGACTGGATGGTCCGCTTTGTTCCCTACTTCAAGGATAAAGGTGACAGCAACAGCTCGGCCGGATGGAAGGTAGGTGACCTGAAACCCACCTCCTCCTGAGACCCTCCTGATGTGYCTCTGTCCCACTCCACGTGACACGGAGGGCAGAAGGGTTGGAGCCAGTGGCGCCTGCAGAAAATCTTTCTCACTGGGGGGGCCACTGAAAAACCAGGGGTGGCCCACCAAAACTAAAACCTATAACAGACATTTTACAACGTGTTTGTAAAAACGACAAATTGAAAACTAACGCAATATATAGAACATATATTCAATTAGTAATTTCAGATAATATCACTGATTTTATGACATTCAGAGACAAAAAACAAGAGTAAGTATTTGTAATATTGGGGGGACCCACTGGCGGGGGGACCCCCAGAAAATTTTTAAAGAAGTGAATACCATTTCCTGCATTCTGGTGTATTTTAACAGTTTGTTAAACAGTTTTTTTTACCTACGTATAACACTTAAAGGCACATTGTAGGATTTTGTCAATTCTTTTAGCCGAAATTGAGATAATCACTAATGACAGTAGGGTTGAGCATAATCGTATCGTGTGCAATTAATCGTCAGAAAAACATTAATCGATTAAT